GTGCAGGAAATCCAAGCAAGGGTAAGGACGTCAAGGACACCAAGGAAGTAAGAACCAGAAGTCATCGGAACGTTGAAGATACTTAGCAAATACATTTAAGGGAGAAAAATATATAATTTAGCCACACGTTCCAGTTTAATTTTCACCATCAATGTAAAAGTGAACGCTGTGAATAACTGCATCTGTGTATTCAAGGGAAGAAAAACCTAGAATCTTTTAGTTTGTATCTTGGTGATAACCACCATCCTGCCCACCGGGTGAATCTGGCCTGCATTCCAAACCCTGCCCTGTAAAGTCCTGAAGACAGCTAAGCATCTGGTGCCAGGCACCGATGCCTGGACTGCTTCTTAACTGACCTCTGATGTGTCAAGTCTTTGACAGAGCCCACACACACGCATTTGTCTGGCATAGCATATGAGCCCCTTCTTCTTGTCTCCAAATCTAGGAATCCCGTGTTGCTGCTTGCTGAGACAGACTTCTGTCCCTTCTTCCCATTAAGTTCTTAATAAATTGCATTCTGGTTTTTTTTTTTGTACCAAGGATCGAACTTGGGACCTTGTACTTGTGAGGCAGGCAGCGGAAACAATGTGCTAAATCCCTGGCCCTAAATTGCATTCTTTGTTAAAAAATAAAATAAAACAGACCATCGATGACAAAGAACATCTTAATTCATAGTCACCAAGTCAGAAGTACAAAAATTACTGAAGGATATCCTAGACAGAGAAATGAAATCAACAACACCAAAGGGCCTACTAGTATGACTACATCAAACAGAGTGGGCAGATAATCAAAAGGGAAAACCAAAGGAAGCAACAACAGAAAAACAATGCAATGACAGGAATCAGCCAATATCCTTCAGTAATATTTCTCAATGTAAATGGTCGCAATTCCCAATCAAAAAACAGAGTGGCAGATAGGATCAATAAACCAAATCCAGTGATGTGCTGTGTATAAGAAATACACTTAATCTTCAAAGAAATTCATAGACTAACTATCAAAGGGTGGAAAACAATATTCTATGCATCAGCAGCCTTAAAGGAAGCAGGAGTAACTATCCTATTTACAGACAAAATGGATTTCAAGTCAAGCTGATCAGAACAGACGAAGGAGGTCACTATGTACTGGTACATTTGAACAGGAAGAGATAGCAATTGTAAGTATATATGCACCAAATACCAGCACACTGAACTTCATAAAGCATATACTAAATAAAAAACTATAGACAAATCTCTTCAGTGAACATGGATGTAAATTCTTCACCAAGATACTGACAAACAATACAACAAATCATTGAAAAGAGCATACATCATGACCAAGTTGGCTTCATGTCAGAAATGCAAGGATAGTTTACAAACATGAATCAATAAATGTAATACATCACATAAACAGAAGCAAGGACAAAAATCACATGATCATCTCAAAAGATGCAGAAAAAGCCTTTGACAAAATCCAGTATCATGATTTTTTTAAAAAAACTGTGAACAAAATAGGTATAGAAAGACCTTCTCTCAATCTGATAAAAACCATTTATGACAAAGCCACCGTCAATACCATATTAAATGGGGAAAAATGAAAGCTTTTCCTCTTAGACATATAATGAGTGTTATATTCTCAACACTCCTGTTCAATATAGTATTCAAAACTTTAGCCAGAGCTAAAATAAGAGAGATATGTGTAGGAAAGGAAGAAGTTAAAACTATCCTTATTTGAAATGATACATTATACAGCACACCCCCAAAAATTCCACCAAAGAACTCATAGAACGAATAGCAAATTTAGGTAAGTAACAATATATAAAATCATATATAAAAATCAGTAGCATTCCTATATACCAACAGTGAGCCCATGAGAAAGAAATCAGGAAAGCAGTAACATTTACACCAGCTTCAAAAAATCTCAAATACTTAGGAATTAACCTAAGCAAGGAAGTGAAACACCTCTACAATGAAAAATATAGTATGCTGACAAAGAAGATTGAAGAGGACATCAGAAAATGGAAAGACACCCCCTGTTCCTTATAGGCAGAACCAATACTGTCAGGATGGACAGAGTACCAAAATTGATATATAGATTTCATGAACTCCCAATATAAAAATGCTAATCACATTTTTCACAGAACTAGAAAAACAGTACTCAAATTTATATAAAACCAGAAGAGTCCCAGAATAGCAAACACAATCATGGGCAACAAGAGGAAACAGGAGGCATCAACAAGCTCTGGCTTCAAGTTACAAAGCCACAACAATTAAAAAAAAACACACAAAAAAACAGACAAACAAAAAACCCCAAGTGCTGGGATTACAGGTGGCGATTCAGGGTTGACTAGCCTTAAGTTTATGTAACCTATCTCATCCCCTTACAAGATTCAGGACACCAAGATCAGAGATGTATAGGGAACTATAAATTGAACTGCCAACAAGTGCCTGCAAGTCTCCAGTCATAGACCTAAACTTCCAATCACCTTGGATTCCAGCAGAGCCTCTACAAATCTGATACTGCCCCAAGCACAGAGACCAGAATACGCAATAAGAACTTCTCCAGAGCCACCTTGCAAATCCAGAACCGAGATAATGATCAACCGCACCTCCATCCCACCCAATTTCTCAAAAGCTGGTCTCACTCTTTTTCTCTTTATCAGTGTTACGTTCCACCAAGCTGAAGTCCCTTCCCTATTTTGTGTTATTTTCTAACCCTAACCCTAATAAATCAGCGTATGCCCCTCACGGATGCTTTTCAGCGTTCAGAGCCTATCTAGAGTGAGTTGAGGTCACCGTCCCCTCTCTGAGGGAGCTACTCTGAAACTGTCCCAGGAGAATAAGTCCATCAACTGAGTGGCTTAAGCAATAGAAATTTATTGTCTCAAGGTCCTTTCTGAGAGCTGAGAGGGAGACACTGTTCCATGCCTTTCTCTTACTTTCAAGTGGTTTCACCCACTATTGATCACCTCGTCTCATGGAAACACCATCACTGATCACTGCTTTCACCTTTACATGGTGTTCTCCCCTATAATGCCTCTGATTCCACATTTCCCCTTTGTTTGTTTTTGAGAAAAGATCTCACTTCGTAGCCCAGGCTAGAGTGGAACTCCCTGTCCATCTCAGGCTGACCTCAAAATCATGATCCTCCTGCCTCAGTCTCCAGTGTACTGGAATTACAGGCCTGTACCACCAGGTCTGGCTATATGCCCCCTCTTTTAAAAGACTGGTCATTCAGGATTAGGGACCATCCTAAGAGCCTCAGCTTAACTCAGTTACATGTGCAACTGCCCTATTTTTGAATAAGGCCACATGACAAGTTACCAGGATGTAAGCGCAGTTCAGCCACTAACATAAGTCTACCACTTCAAGTAAATTCTATTTCTAAAAGATGCGAGAAACAGATTTACTTGTCCAGATCCCCACAGAAAATGGACTTCACAGGCAGAAAAAACAGCAAACACAGTCAGTCTTGCAAGCCTGGGTGTCTGATCTGACAGGCACACACAAGTCGAAAAGCTGCGTGCTTTTATTCTTTCCCCATCTTCCATGGCCTGGGATCTGGGGTTCACAGTCCATCCTGGTTGATGCCTGCTACTTCCTTCTTTGTGCCCCTTCTTTTCTCTGTGCATTTTTTTGGAGTTATTTATTTATTTATTTGGCTTCTCGGGATTGTAATTCATGAAAACTTATTTGTCTAGCGATTACACCTTAGCTCAATACCTAATCGCAGGTGTGAGCCGTTTAGTAGCCTGTGTGTCTGTGGCGCCATTTGACCCGGTCAACTCTGTGAATAAGGACTTGTTAGAGTGCTTAATGAAATATGGACCAATTGAAATATTTTTGTTTCTTCCAAAAAGAAAGCTGCCTGAATAGCTCTTTAGACAGCCTGGATGATGCTGAAATAATTATAAATATGAACCAGCAGTGGCTTAATATAACAAGTGTTTTTTGTTTTGTTTTGCTTTTAATTTCTCACTATACTAGGTCCACTGAGGGCAGAAGGACTTTCCAGGACAACTGTGCTCCATGCTACCACTCGGCACCCGACTGCTTCCAAGTCCACCATGAGGCGGGCTGAGGAAGTCTGGTTTTTTCCTGGTCTCCGCTCAGAAATAACCCTTCACATGGATGCTCACCCTGGAAGCAGGCTCAGGACCGCGCACTTGTGAGTGGCTAGAAAGTGCAGCAAAGATAAAATTGGTCACAAGCACCAAAGCCCCGGCTGCAGGATCACTTTAGGACTGGTGTTCGGGTGTCTCCACCGTTCTCACCACAGGTTGGAGAGCAAGGAAACAGGTTCTTACTGTAAAGCCTACAGAATAAAGAAGCAATAGCTTAGGGGGGAATTACCCGACCTGTCTCTAAACGCAGGAGGATCGGGGCTAAGGGAGAAGCAGCAGCCTGGTGGGCAAGTCATTGACAGCCCCTGGATTCCCCAGGATTGGAAATTCACTGGCGATGACAGAGAAACAGAATGAAGGGGAAAAGAAGATTGATTCTCTGGCTCCAGTTATAGAAAAAAAATGAAAGGAATCTTCCCATTCCACACTTTCCCTGCTGGACTGCAAGAACCCCGGGGGCAGGAACGGGTATGGCCTGCTTTATTGCCTGAAAGATGTGCATGGGAACTTGGTAGAAGCTTAGGCTGCATTCCCCATGAGTGAAGGAACAAGTGCATATCACTAAACGCTCCTCTCTGTTCTCACACGAGCAATGCTTGCCCGGTACCCATCCCAGTTACCGTGCAGGGGAGCCCACAGCCTGTCAGAGCACGTGGTCCTTGTCCACCGTGGAACTGGCTGCAGGGAAGCCACTGACTGGCAGTCACACCCAGGGCTGGTTATGGAAATTTACCCGGGCGGGAGCTAATCCATGGGAAAGCCTTCAGAATGACTTGAAATTTATTTTGGCACAGCTCCCAGAATGAAAGGCTTTCCAATACTCATTTCTGTCCTGCCAGCTCTGGTGAGAAGGGGAAAACAGGAGATTGCCCAGGGACATGGGCATGCTAATCTTTGAGTCCACCCACTGGCCACACCCCAGTTAGCTACCCCTCAACCATATACTTCCCCAGATTGGGTAGCTATTTAAAGGCAGCTGGAAGTCAGGAAAATAAGGACAGTCACTTGGCAGGATCAACCACAGCTTCTCCTGAGAGGTAAATACCCAGACATCAATGCCCGGTGAAGAGTATTAGAAGTCCTGCTCATTGTCTGGCTTTCCAAGGTGTTGTATTGTGCATTTCTGTGGGTGCATATATATGTGACCCACATGTGTGCTGTATGACTGCACAATCTGGTGTGTACAAGAAAGTGTGAGTACGCAAGTGTGCTGGAGAGTTCGTGACACTCGCACTTGTGAGCTCTATGAGTACAAAGGTGTGTGAAGTAGTGGAGAGTTCAAGAGCGTGTGCGCAGAGGCATCCACGTGGGAGAATGGGGGGCTGTGTGTATGTGTGTGTGCATGTGTGTGTACACCTGTGCACGACATGACGTTGGAACAGCTTCCAAAGAGGAGGTGCTGCTTTACTTCAGGAGAAAACTATTAGGGACCAGACTCCATTGATGAAATTTCCAGGACTTGAAAACAGTGCAGTGACATGCAAGAAATGTCTAAAGGGAAATAGAGGGACACGTTCTCTGACATCAGGAAGCTACCAGTTTTGTGGGACGAACTCACTTCCACCCTCCTAGGGATTCTTGGGCTGAAGAGGAGTAAGGGAGGCTACAACATGTGGCGTCTCCAGGAGCTTGAGGCCTACATATGTGTGACACCATTCCACAGAACTGGAAAGGGTCAGGGGGTGGCGTGCACATCTGTGGACTGTTGCAGGTCACTGTAGGTGCCCTACTGTGTGACAGAGGTGCTCTGGCTACATGTGCCCTGGATGAAAGGCACATCTATGTGCTCCAGGGTAGAGCTGGGTACAGGACAGGCACGGGGGCAGAAGCTGGGACCAAGTGGGAGAGGAGTGCAGGCCATTGAGTGTATACCTGTCCTTCACAGAGTCCTCAGCATGAAGCCCTTCTTGCTGCTGCTGCTGGCCATGGCCTCTGGTAAGAGCTGACCCTGACCTCCGGGCACCGGGAGAGCAGCCCAGTGGGGTAAACATTTGACCTCTGGTTTTCCTTCCCACTGGAGCAGTCTTCTCTCAGTGGGAAGAGCAGAGATGACACTTGTAGGGAGGGAGAGAGGCAAAGGGAAGGGCTCCACATCTCATCTACAGGTACTTTCTTACCAGGCTTGCCTCAGGTCCATGGACATTTTACACAGTTCGCAGATATGATCACGCTCAAGACAAAGAAGAACGCACTTACAAGTTATGGTGCCTACGGTTGTCACTGTGGCTTCGGTGGCAAAGGAACCCCGAAGGATGCAACAGATCGGTGAGGTCACCCTGCTCATTTCTGCCCCTGCCAGGGTTAGGAGTTGTAAGGACAGAGCTGATGCCCAGTGGCTCGGTGGTCCCAGGAGGTCCCTGATGGAAAAATAACCAGCATGTTGAGAACTCTGCTCTAAGCTGTCCCAAGTCACTGAGTTTCTGTCCAGTCACGGAAAGGGGGATGACGGAACACCAGGACCCCTAAAGCTGTGAGAAGGCAGCCCTGACACGATGCCCTCCTTCCAGGTGCTGTGTCAAGCACGACTGTTGCTATATCCGGCTGGTAAAACGTGGATGTGGCACAAAACTTCTGAAATACCAGTATACCAAAAGAGGGAGCTCAATCACCTGCAAAGGTAAGAAAGAGCCCTGTGACACCATCATGTTTCCTCCTGCGTATACTGCATCCCCACTGTGCCAGGCACCACACTGGGCACCAGAGGAGGCCGCCATAAGGAGGATGCACAGGGCTCCTTCGCTGGAGGGACAGGAGGGCCTCTGAGGCCTTCAGAGACAGGTGTTCCCATGGGGTGTGCGGCACAGCCAGACTTACCAGAGGAGGCAGCCATAGGGAGGATGCACAGGGCTCCTTCGCTGGAGGGACAGGAGGGCCTCTGAGGCCTTCAGAGACAGGTGTTCCCATGGGGTGTGCGGCACAGCCAGACTAGAGCGGGTGAGCAGGCAGCAAGTAGAGACCCCGAGTGTACACAACTGTGTGGAGAAAGCCTGACTTCAGGAGGGAGACTGACGGCAACTGGGAGCTAACTAAGTCTTACTGTCTCCAGTGGATCCATGAGTGCAACCTTCCAAACCACAGATGACTTTTACCATTGTGCTCTCTCCTCGAGGCTGTGTACCTCCACAGGCTTTAGGTCCCAGGCCACCAGTGCCCAGCTGGCAGTGCTTTGGCTTATGGGGATGCCTCCTGTCACATAACGAGAATTCTAGAAGAGGGCAGGCAGCACCATGCCTGGGGCACCTTCTCCGCCACGTCACCGGCACTGTTGCTCAGCTAGGCCAAGGTGGCTGAATCTACCTGTGTCCTCAAGACACACCTGCAGCTCCACACATCACGGCCTCAGCTGTACAGCAGGCTTTCCCACCACGCTGCTGTCTTTTTGGAGGGAAGAAGTCCATGCTTCCCTTGACCACCCATTAGACTTTCCCTCATAGCTCATTGGTGAGAAGTGGGTCACATCCTACCTACAGACCAGTCACTGGAAGATCTATAGCAATCCCGGTGCTTGGTGCTTTGTGTCCCAGTTGGCCAGGGAGCCAGCTCTGGGAGAGCAGAATCCTGCCTCCCATTGGTCAGGACGATCTGGAGCAGGCAACTGCATCAGAGAAGGAGCATCTGGGCCCTGAGCTGTGGTTTCTACTCCTACCCTGAAGCCACAGAATAACAAAACACCGCATCTGGTGATTATATTCTTCTAATTTCAGCAAAGCAGAGCTCCTGTCAGAAGCAGCTGTGTGAATGTGATAAAGCTGCTGCCTCCTGTTTTGCGGCAAACTTGAAGAGCTATTCAAGAAAATACCAGTTGTATCCCAATCGGTTCTGCCATGGGAAGAACCCACGTTGCTAAGAGGCTACCCGATGTGGAAACTTCTTCTCTAATGCCTCTCCCTCCTTGGAGCAAATTCCCTGGTGATAAAACAATCAATTCTCTTCCATCTGGGGGTTAGGCCAGAGCCCTCTGTTGTGGCCCAGGAGGTGAAGCCCAATGTGGGGGTGGGGGTGGGGATACCACTCTTCTGAATAAAGCCGCTCAGCCACAGGTATCACATATGGGTGTATTGGGGTGTGCATGGACATGCGCGTGCCATCAGGCCCACACACAATCACTCTGTGCACAGTGAACAAGTTCAAAATTCAGGCTCTGGACTCAGGCTGTCTGGGTCCTGTCCCCCGCTGTCCCTCAGCCCTAAGCCTTGGTTTTCTCACCCAAACAGAGATGACACTCAGGCTTCCCTGTTTAAGAATGAAAAAGGATACAAATATAAAGCACCAGGCCTGGCCTGTCTTCAGCTGCCTTTCCAATTAGGAGTGAGACTCAGGCTTCTCTCTCCTCTTCCAGGGCCACAGCAGGGGTGTGAGGATATGAGTTGTCCGAATTACAATGGAGGCCTGTTTGCCAGGCCCCCTGCCATGTTAACTGAAGGAAGTAGGGGGCGTCAAGGAGGGGTTCTGGCGCAAGCGGATCTGATCCGAGGAGCACTCACAGAAGACTCCAGAAGAACCACGACCCTGCATAAAGGACTGCACCAGATCCACTAAAATCCTGGGCCGGTACTTTTGTCAGAGCAAGGCACTGTGACCAAACACTTCAGATTACCCGACAGAGATTAGAGGATTCTTGAGAGCTCGAGACAAAGCAAAATAGAGTCCAAAATTGTAAAGCATGAAAAGAAGGTTCTGGCTGAGGATGTAGTTCAGTGGCACTGCACCTGCCGGGCAAGTACAAGGTCCTGAGTTCAATTCCTGGTACCGAGAAAAAAAGAAAGGAAAAGAAGGTTCTACTCTGAAAATTAGACAGTGATACTGTGGTCCATTTTCATGCATTTTCTTTTTCTTTTTCTTTTTTTAATCAGCAAGACAAATATTCTTAAACTGCAGTTATAATGTTGACAAATGAAATCCTTTTAACTTTCCGTACATTGTTTTCTCTCTGCCTATTTTGAATCTGCTAATTTTTTCACTTATATTAAGATAAAGACAAATTGAAAAACAGGGAAAAGCTCATTCAAAAGTGTTTCTTACGGTATTTTAGCCTCTAGAGAAAAAGATAAATGCTTTCCAAATAGTGGTTTTGTAATTTGCAACTCCATGGCAACCTAGATACCCAACAGTTATCCTTCTTGGAGATGAAAGTTTGGTTTAAATGGCTTTAATTGCTTATGGTGCTAAAACCATTCTGCCTTTTAAAAACATTTCTTGTCTTAGTCAAAATCTTTAGCAATAAAAAGAGAATTCTGCCTGGCATAAAAATTATTTCATTTGCTACACTGGCCAGGAAAAACCAAGGAAAATATACACAACCTTTTCAGAATTATTTCTTAAAATGTTTCCATCCTGAGTTGATCCATCAAGCAAACCAGCCAGGCCAACAAAAGAAAGATCATTATTAAAATCAAAGTTGTTCAGAGATTTTTTTTTTTTATTCTAGCCATTCCTAGCTAAAATGTAAATATCTAAGAGTTAACCCCTATACTCATTCAAGACTGAGAAAAAGAAACAAAAAGGAAGGGAAATATCTTAAATGCACCATTTGGTTAAAATAAAATAAAATGGTCGTCCTTTTAACCCAATCACGGGATATCAAATGATACAATTACTCTAGATTATTGCTTATATATGAAAAGGTGTTAACACTGATAATACATGTTTTACCTGGAGAAATCCCAATCCTGACATCAGATATATCCACCAAACTAAGAATAATACCCAGAATAATAATTTGGGGAGGGGAGATGGCAAAACATTGCAATATCTCATTCCAGTTGTGCTTAACAAAGGCAACAGAAGTGTTAGTCTCGAAGACTAAGAGTTGTAATTGACATCATGGGCGTGGGATGTGGTCTAGCAGAGGGGAAAGCTAGGGCAATGCAGTGCAGGTCAGCAGTTGGACATTATCTACCCACCCGGGGCCACTTCCCGGGGATGGGGCATTTGCAGTACTGCAGTTCCCTGTGTCCAACTGGTACCCTGTCTGTGCTCTGCTGCGGTCATTGAAATTCTAACCAATCTTCAGGCAAAGGGCCTGCTGCATTCATTTTGTACTTCCATGCCACCTAAGTGGTATAGCTGAAGTGAGGGTAGGGCCACATGACTGCTCAAAGATGATTCTTCACTTTAGAGAGGGGTGTTAAAAGGCTCTTGAAATAAAGACTTGTCAAGCACTTTTTTTTTCTGCCTCGATCTATTAAAAGGAAAAGGGAGAGAGTAACTTATTGTCCTCTGCCCCATCTGTCTCCAGTAAAGACTTCATACCTTTGAACTGAAGTTCTCCTGAGAACATTTTCAACCTAATTCTTTGTGTGCACAATTCCTGAGAGCATCTCATTTACAATCTCACATTGAATAACAGTTTGGAAGGGTGTGACATTCTGGTTTGTTTTGTTTTGTACTTAGAGTCCTCAGTCTGTTTCTTCTAACATTCAGTATTGCTAACAAGAGATCGGTTATTAAGCTAACACTTAACTCTGAATGATTACCAGCTTTCTCTCTGGCATCGCCTCCTTCTCGAAGCACAGAATGACCCTCTTTGTTTAAATCACCTTTTCCACTCTCTCTAGAGCATGCCTAATCGGCTGTTTGGAGTTTTTTGGTTTTGTTTTGTTTTGTTTTTAATTGTCTGGTTGTACTTGGAGTTTCTTTCATCTTTGTGGAATTTTAAAATCTTATTTCTTTTAATATTTTGTTCCCTTTGCTTCCTCTCTCTTTCTTAGAATTCTGTATGTGGACGTGGGAGCATCTATTTCCAAATCTCTGGAAGTTTCTTTTCTTTTTTCTTTCTTTTCTATTTTCTCTTTCCCCTGAAAGATTTTGCAATCTCAGCTTCTCTCTGTATCATCCCTCAACTAGATGTATCTCATGTCAATGTCTGCATTCTTTGTAACTAACAGCTACACTCGGGGGCATTTTTTAAATGAATCATTTCTGATTTTTCCCTGGTATTGGTAACATCGTCCCCTACGTGTCATCTGTGTCGGATGTTCTGCGTTGTCAAGTAAATTTCCTGTTTCCTAGACGGTGTGGTCTGTGTGCTCCGCAGTGAATTTAGGCTGTAAAGAGTCGATGAGCCTTAGGGCTTATGATTCGCATTCGCTGCAGGTGCTGTGGCCCGGCTTTCCTCATTAAACCCACTGGCAGGTAGCAGCCTCATAAGATGGTACCCAGCCATCCCTGGGATGCGGGAGGAGGCAGCAGAGGCGGGGATGAGGAGTGAAGGCCTGAGTATAACTGAGTAACTTTCATTTGCTTTCAACAATTGCTTGTCCAAGGAGTGCTCTTGGACAGACCTCACAGCATGTCTACAACTGGAACATCTCAGCTCTTGCTTGTGGGATGAAGGGCCAAGCTGACAGGAAGGACACAGCTTAAAAGGCTATCTTGTGAGGTAAAACAAGCCAGACTGAGAAAGTTAAACATTGCTTGATTTCCCTTCTAAGTGTTATTTAAAAAATAAGGAGAAATGACAGAAAAGAAAAAGAGCGTAGATGAGGAAGGGACTGGTGGAGACTTGAGTGAGGGAGAGGGGACTGATTGGAATAATAATCATCATAAATATGTTACTAAATAAATAGCTCGTTATTTTGTATTACTAATGTGCACTAATAAAATAAAATTTAAAAAGCTTTCTCCTAACTCACTCATACTTCGTCCACACTGCCCGTCCTCCGCTTGGGAGCGAGGTGTCCTACTCTTGCCCACAAATACGGCCCGCAGCCAGCCTTACTTCCTACTTTGTACAAGGCTCTGCATATGTTCTTTCATGTCCTAAAATCTGAGCTTCTCTCTCAGATCTGTCATTTTGTCAGGTTGGTTTTGGCCGAGGAAGCCAGAAACCTATGTTGCTTTGCATTCTTGGCAGAAAAACAGTAAAATGCAATAGTTTGTGTGTATAATTTGAAAGCACACAGAGTTATGAAAACAGTAAGTATTTTTCAAAGAACCACAAATCTGGATAAACATCTAAAAATGAATTATAATGGAGACGGAGTAAAGGGAAAATTAATAAATGAAACAAAGCCTTTGTCTTCCGCAACCCCATGAAAATAAGAGAAAATGAAGAGAAACCATGACCCACGTGGATTAAGAATTGGCCAATGGTAAATGCATTCACTTTTGCCTCAGCAACCCCCCTTTGGAGAAAATTACCCTATAAACGCACACACACGTGCACACACGAGCCCTGTGTTGGGGGACACTGCAAATCCACACTCAGAGGTATCTACCTCCGAAGTCCGGTCTGTACGCTGTCAGCGTTGAGGGAGGGTGAGTAATAGGTCAAGCCCCAAGATTTGCAGGCCCTTGTTACTGAGGAAGTCAGAGGACAGCCATCTCCCCAGCAGTCGCAGAGAAAACACATGTAGGCCCCACAGTCCAGGGATCACAGACCTCAAAACACAGCCCTGTTTCAAGGGAGCAGCTGTTTCCTCCTGCCAACTCCATAGAAGCCCCTCAGCCCGTAAGAGAGGTGCCACTCCGGTCTTCACACCAACAGCCCCTCGCGAGTTTTACTCTAATAAAGCCTGTCCTCTTCTGCAAAGCTCAGATTCCTTTCCTTTTTTCCTCCTAAGTGTCTACTTGAAACGTGACTGTGGGATTCTCCAGACAGACCACCCACTACACTGATGAGGAGCAAAATCAACTTTTTTACCCATGGCTTCGAGGGATTCAAATCGCCTCGAAAGCCTCAAACAGGTTTACTCTCACTTTTATATTTATGTTTCTATGGGAGAGGGAAACAGCAACTGTAATCACTATTGGTTAAGAGGGACCTTACAGTGCTGGGGATTTGGCTCAGTGATTCCGCTGCCTGCCTCTCAAGTGGAAGGACCTGAGTTTGATCCTTGGTACAAAAAAATAAAAAAAAAAAAAAAAAAAAGTGGGACCTTTCATAGAGGTCTAGTTAGCAATTAAGTAAGGGGCTAGTGCAGCAATATAGTGGCCCTAGAGGGGATATATATTTATATAAATACATGTGTGTATTTTTATATACTAAATAAGAGGTTTAAGTGGCTGCTCCTGTCTCCTTTGCATTTTATTGGAGGTGG